ACGTGATCCTCGACACTTTGTCTCGCCGGTACCACATCTTTTCTTGGTCTCACGTGGTCCCCGGCCCTTTGTTCCACTGGTACCACATCTTCTTTTGGTCTCACGTGGTCCCCGACACTTCGTCCCGCCGGTGCCACATCTTCTTTAGGTCTCACGTGGTCCCCGACACTCTGTCCCGCCGGCACCACTTCTTCTTTCGGTCTTACGTGGGTCCCTACTTAGCTTGTGGCCCTCTCGGCCCTCTTTCCGCTACTTCCTAGTGGCCCACCTAGCCCGGCAACATTTCTCCTGTGCCGGCGCCTTACGTCCTATTCCTTCCTTGCACCTGCACAACCTATGTCATTGCTTTTTCCAGAGGTCCTTCTCCGTTTCGAGAGAAGGTTCGCCTTCGCCACTTTCTTGCGTGCCTCCTTCGCTCCCTGTTCAGTCAATTCTTTCACGTCAGCAGCCTCTAGTTCCCTAGTGCCTGTGCTTACGCCTTCAATTTTCACGTCAGCCAGGCCTAGTTTTAGTTACCATCCCATAGCGCTCAGGTCTTGGCAAGAGAAGCCTGCCACAACCAAACCAACAGGCTCCTCAGCGAAAGGCTTCCCTTGAATTGCGTAACGTCCCCAAGCTCAATAATGTCTTTGTAACGAGCGCGTAACATTCTCTGTGCATCAACGTCCGCCTCACACCTGTATCTCTTTCTCACTGGAACTCCCGAATACTCAAGGGCTTCCCAACGGCCTCCAATACCGTCCCACAAGGAGAGGGCGACAAGTCCATCACCCTCACAAGGAACCGAGGTAAAAGGGAGATTTTGGCGATGAATGTCACAAGGATCATTCGCCATGGCTTCCTCCAGGTGCGAGCTAGCAACACGTTAAGGAACTTAAGCAGCTTGATGTCTCTTTCTCTCATCCAGTTGACTAGCATCGCCCCTTGGGAGGATCTGACAACAGACATGCCTTGCAGCTAGTCTTTCATTGTACGTTATTTCTCGCTCTTGACAACGTCTTGAAGGCTGCATTCGTAATCTCAAATCTATCTTCCCATTTCATTGAGAAAACATTATTGAGCAGAAATCATTTTTGTTATTACTCTTAGACATCCACAAATGATTTGTTTTTTCGGGCCGCGCAATTCATGTCTTCGATATGACTTTTCCTCTTCCCGAGGTCCAGGCTTAGCTAAATCCACATGCATTTCCCCCGGGTCATTTTACCCAGCCTTTCTCAGGTCTTGCCAATTCTGCRTGCATATCATCCTCTGCCCTTTCTTGCCCTTTACTTAATTGACTTTCCATGTGCAATGCTCGGTTCATCCCTTGTGCATTTCTTTTCCAAACATCTTGTCGGACCTTTTTTTCAAGCCCATGCAAGCCAATCACACAGCCATTCCCCAGCCTGACAGTCCTTTTCTCAAGTCCATGGGCATCTTGCCAGACCCTCCTTTTCTCAGGCCCATGCAAAACCAATTACAAGTCTTTTTCTTTTCTGGGTGTCTTGCCAGACCCCTTTTCTCAGGCCCATGCAACGCCAAATACAGGTCTTTTTCCATGCGTATTCATTGGTAGATGGCACACCTTCCCCCCACTCAAAACACGATGTCCCCATCGCACGACTGGTTCTCACTCGGAGGTACGCAGACCTTTGGCCCACCAACCGCAATCAAGGACACAAGCCCGTCCGCTTCACAAAAGGAAGAGTGATCAGTTCCTCCCCAACGGACGACGCCTCATCCTCCTACTATGTCCGACCTTTCTTCTCTTACGTGGCGAGCACCAATACTGAGGTTCCTCCTCACGTCTGCAAGGCAGGTCCAATCCAAGCCTTCCAGGGTCTCGTCTAGCCGTGAGAGCGTTCCTCGCGAATCGTTCCTCCCGAGTGGTAATTTTCTGGATTCCGGCCTCTTCCTTTCAAGAGAGTTGGGGCTCTCAATTAGTTCGCGAGTGCAGTTACGAAGACCTCGCAATTAGTCCCGAAACGGTTGTAATGTTCCAGCAGGGCAGTGTCAATGCCCCGTGGTGGTGACGGACTCCACCCGGTACCTTCGCCCGGCCCCTCCCCTTGGACAGTGCTGCCCAACTTAGTGCGGGCAGCCGAGGTCCGACCTAAACGGCCATGGCACCCCTCTATGACATGGCGTGTGGTTGGAGAGGGCAAAATAGACTAGATGAGAATGGCTTCCTTGCCCATTTGGCTCTCTCGCCCTTTGACGTTTAGGCTCTCAACAGGAGGCGCAGTCTGAACTCCCCGACTAGAGCTCATTGTCGGGGTCAGTTTCGGACATCTCGCACCGATCCAAGTGGTAGGTGCCTTAGTCCTTTGACCTTCATCCCCTTGAAGAGGAACAGGTCGCGCTGAGACTTTTCCCTCAAAGGGATAGAGGTCTTGGGGGTCGCGGTGCATGCACCGGTATCCCCCTCTTGCTGAGGCCAAAGACTAGAACAAAAGAGAAATTTCATTTCATGCTCTTTCCAAGTCCATTTCAAGTTGCCTAGGGTCCCCTGTTTATGCAGTGCAATTTTCAATACTCAATCCAATTCCAATGCTCAATCTCATTCCCATGCTCAACCTCAGTCCAATGCTTAATCTCCGTCCAATGCTCAATGCAATATCTCTTCCAAGGTTGAGTCCAATATCCTTTCCAAGGCTGAGTTCAATGTTTTTCCCCAAAATTCAGCCATTTCCAATCTCTTTTCCAAGGCTCAACTCTTTCCAATCTCCTTTCCAAGTCTCAGCTCTTTCCAGTCTCCTTTACAATCTCAACTTTTCCAATATCATGCATCTCAGACAGCCATGCAAGGGGACCCCAGTGCCAATTCCAAAGAATGACCCTTGTCAAGGGTCATTCCGAACAACAGGGTTAGGGTCGTTCTTTCCAATTCCAAGTCGAACAGCCTGGTTAGGGCCATTTTTATCCATTGCAATCGGACAGCCTGGTTAGGACCATCCTTATCCATTCCAATTGGACAGCCTGGTTAGGGCCATCCTCGTCCGTTTCAATTGGACGGCCTGGTTAGGGTCATCCTTGTCCATTGTAATGTTAGCGCCCGAGGGGGTGGGCGTCGAGGACACGGATCCTATCTCGAAGGCGGCCATCTTCTTGGGTTTTTACGCATGGTTCTTCCTCTTTCTCATACCATTTGTCATCCTTATGTCCTTTCATACATCCGACTTAGCGTCTAGTACTCGAGTTGAGGGTCGCAACCTCAAGCAGCACTAGCCCGCCCGGCCGTTCAACCATTGCAAAGGGGTGTGTGTCCTCACTGTTTTCTCTTTCTCTGAAGTCTCATACATCTTGCTGTTCTGGACTGGTGTAGGACCGGTTGGATTAGGCTCCTAGGGAAGAGGGTTCTTCATGCCTCTTTACCCATAGGTCCCCTAATCCTCTCCCAAAAACACATGCCATGACTCATTCGACCATGGGTACACAACTCACAAAAAGGAAACTCTTTCTGCCATCGACTTTTCCTTCCAGTCTTCCAGTAGTCCACATACCCTCCCCCATTTCCCAAAACAAAGCCAATCGTTCCTTGTTTCCTCATCAATGCCCATATTTCCCAAAGGAGCGAGTACTCATACAAAGTAGCACCGACTACCCAAACCCTACTGACTTCTCCAGTTTCAGGGGCTGTTCTGCCATAGTTTTTCTCAAAAAGGAAGGAGACAAAGTTTGAATGCGAAAGCAACATTACAGGCTTGTCTCATCTAGACCCCAATCCCTCATAGTTCCAGTCTCACGTGCAGTGACCCCCATGCCCTTTCTGAAGGAGCAACTACTTGTGCAAAGTGGTATCAGATACTTAGTCCTAGGCTTACTTCAAAATAGGCCTTACGCCATTGTCGTTTGCTTCCAGAGAGTTCAACTGCAAAACATTCAAAATAACAGGTCTGCCTGCCCAATTCTTAGTCCTCCCCAGTTTCTAACTAATCCCTGTTATGACCATTCCCCTTTTTACTGCCCAGTCGCCCTACGCCGAGCCTCCCTTGCACGAGCCTCAATCTCTTGTTGCATTAGTCTTTTTGACCTCTGTAGGCCAAGAAGCTCCTCCTCCGTGAAGAACGTCGTTGGAGATATGTCCTCCCCCCTGCTCAACTTTTTCATATCGTAGGATGCTGGCCCATTGGTCGAACCGGTCAGTAAAAGACGGCCCAAACTCTCTTATCCATTTGTCATTTTCTTCCTCCGGGTCGTCCTCTGTACCCCGTACTTCCCTTGTGGGTGTCGTCACCTCATCCTCTTCCTCCTCGCTGTTGAGGTCTATGACTTCAATGGACTCCTCCTCTCTCAATCTCTGTCTTTTCCCCGGGTTCCCTTCCTCCTCATTGCTAGTGTCACTTTCTGATGGGAGGACTATTGGCTCCCCCTCCCTCTGTGGTGAAGGTCCCCTGGTCCCTTGCTTCCTGCCCCCCCTGTTCACAACCAGGTTGTGATCAAACCCCACATACAACTTCCTTTTCCTGGAGCTTGACTCTCCAGCCTGTCTTGTTGGTTGCTGCTCGTTCGGCCTGTTGATTGCGTTGCTGTCGTTTTCATTTCCAAACTCCATTTTATCTTTTCTTGGTGTTCTTCTTGTTTCCTGGTCCTGTCCATACATAACAGTCACCGCATCCCCTCATAAGCACACATTCCCCCCCACTCCCATTTGCAGCTTTGGAGGCTTCCCTAGAACTCTCGCTTCCCCCCATATAGTTGGTAGTCCCATTATCCCTTAGAACCCTTGACACATTGACCCCCACGCATAGGTATCTCATGTAGGTGGTCCACAGCATCACCCCACAAAACTATGGTACATTGTCCCGACAAATAGATACCTCGTGTAGACGGTCCCCAGAGTTGCCCACAAAAACTATAGTACATTGTCCCGTGCTCCCAACCCCATTCATAGTCAGCCCAGGCAGTCTCCCCACGTTCCACAAAAGTCAAGGCACACAAACAAACAATCCCTGTGGTCATGATTACTTCCACAGGGAGACGGTCCAGGCCTATAGCCAGTTGCCTGCCTTTCAAACTGTCAATTCCCCTGCTTCCCCGTCCTGCGCCTCTTGTAGCCATTGTTTCACAGGATCCCTGCTTAGAAATTTGGCCAACCTTTGTCCCGGGAATGGCCCTCTTATGCTAGTGCCATCAAGATCCTCAAGTTTGAACGTGTTCAGTCCCACCCGCTTAGCGTTCCTGTAGGGCCCCTTGAACCTCTTTCCCAACTGCCCAGAGAAGACTGCCTGCTTAAGGTACCACGGCCAGTTTCCCAAATCATCCACTGCCAGCTTGGCGATTTTGTTCTTCAAAGTCCGATGCCCCCTTTCTACCGGTGCATTTGCCTCAGGGTGATATGGCTCAATGATCTTGATGGGTACGCACAAGGTCTTAAGCCTGCTCAATACCTCCTGATTGACAAACTCCGTCCCATTATCTGCTATGAACCTTCGCACAAAGGGGTGTCTTAGGTAGAAATCCTCTATCCAATCGGCCACTCCCTTCCCTGTCTTTCTCTTGAGTGCTACCGCCTCTACGTAGCCATTGAGGTTATCCCTTGCATCCAGGATATACCTGTATCCATCCGTTGACACCGGCATGACCGCAAGGTCGAGGCGGACTAAGTGCCCCAGCCCTAGTACCCGGGTAGGTTTAAGGGGCTCGAAGACACGTGTGAAACTCCTCTCCTGGCATATCAAGCATGTTTGGCAATACGTCGCCACCATTCCTGCCATGTCTGGCCAGAAGTAAAGTGGTGCGATTTTCGCAAGGGTCCCTTTGGATGACCTATGCCCTCCAGCTAGTCCATCGTGCATTGCCTGGATTATGTCTATCTGCCTAGACCTTCCGCACACGACTTGTCTAGGCATCACCCCCTCTTCCTTCTTGAACAGGTGGCCGTTCCTTAAAACATACTTTTCGGTTTTCTCCCTTGCCTTGGGGCTGACTTCCGTGGGCTGCTTGTTTCCTATAAGCAGTAGGCCGATTTCCCTGAAGACGCCCTCATACATCTGTATAAGGAAGAATTCTCGTTCCTTCCGATCAGCATCCCGCTCCTCCTGAGTCTGGGTAACTAGGTATCACCACTCCCTTTGCGCCCAGGTCTCTGCTAGGGTCATCACAGCATCCCGTCCCCCTTCAACGGCCATTGCCATCAGTTCCTCTTTGGGTCCTACCGCTGCTCCCCACGAATCCTTTTCCTCTTTGTGCCTAAACGTGGTGACCGGTCCTTCCCTGAGTTCCGCCACTACCGCGGGCGCGCCTTTTTCCAGAGTCTGGATCAGCAGTTGACCCATTGTCGGCGCAGCGTCTGCCATCTCATTATCCACGACGAGGGTCCCTCCCTCGTATTCCAGGAAGGCGTCAATTGGCTCTGCGTCCTCTATCCCTTCCGGCGTGATACACACCCTACTCAGCCCATCTGCCCTGTTTCGGAGCCCCGCAATTCGCTCGACCTTGTAGTCGAATTGCCATATGAAGCCTATCCATCTCCCGACGGTTGGGTCTATAGGCTTATAGTTCTTTAGTGCCCCGGCGACGTTGGTTGGATCGATCCTCAGGATAAACCGCCTTCCGAACAGGTACGCCTAAAAGGTCTTAAGGCAATGCAGGATCGCTAAGACCTCTTTCTTGAACTGTGAGTACCGTCATTCTGCCGAGTTCAAGGTTCTACTTTCAAATCTGATTGGTCTTTCCTTACCCTCCTCGCTTTTCTGTATCAGTACTCCTCCAACTGCCAGCGGTCCCCCATCTGTTTCTAAGATGAAGGGCCGTCTTACCTCATCGTTGAAACAGGGTGCTGCTAGGATGACCTGATCGGAAGATAGGATGTCTTTAAGGGTCTGGGTTGCCACTTCTCTATCCTCGGTCCATTACATAGTGCCACCTTCTCTAATCATCGCGCGGATAGGCTCTGCTATCTTTATGAATCCTTTGATGAAGATCTTCCAGAATCCGACCACGCCTAGGAAGGCTCGTACTTCCGTCGTGGTGCGCAAGGGTGTCGGCCACTGGGAGATCTTATCTGTTTTTGCTGGGTCGGGTCTTCTCTCATAAGCCCCACAGCGAAACCCCAATATGGTTACCTCCGGAACAGCCAGGATGCTCTTTGGTCCACTTGCTGTAATATTATAAACTTGGAACCGTTGTAAGAGATCCTTGATATCCTGAAGGTGATCCCAGACAAACTTTCGCACGCCTGACTCAACCTCTGTCTCATCCTTGTTTTGCGCGCCCTTTATGGGGTTATCATCTATATATGGCTCGCATTTCTTTGGAAACATACCTGCTGCCACAACCAACATTCTCCTTTGCGCCTCTGCCACCGCATTCGTGAAACCCATAGGAGTCACTTGCATTTGCAACTGCCCTACTGGTGTGTGCATGGCGGTATACAGTCTATCCCTTGCGTCGAGCGGCAACTGGTCATATCCTGAGTATAGGTCTATCAGGGAGTAAATACTTCGTCTAGCATGCGATTCGGCCAGCACGTCCGCCTGTGGGAGCGAACCCGCGTCCCTAATTGTTACCGCATTAAGTTTCTGCAAGTCCTGGATCCATCTGAGCGTCTTGTTGGGCTTCCGGAAAATGAACCACTTGTTCGCGTAGGGGGATGCGGTGGGTTCAGCCACGAATGAGTCTATCTTGGCTCTAAGCAGGTCGGTGACCTCTGCCGCTATCCCAAACTCATAGGCACGCCCTTTATCATTCCAACACTCATGCTCTACAATGTGGATCCTAACAGGGGGGATTAATTTTGCATCTAACCGTCCCTTCTGGTGATCATTGAAGGCAAAGGCTAAATGAAACTCTTGGCATGTCCTCCTTATCAACTGAGTTTCCTCTGTTGTTAAGAACCCTTCCACCCCTATTTTCATGGTTTCTGCTACTTCATCAAGTATCCGATGCCCTTCCGCTGCTCGCCTCTCCCTTATTACCCGCAGGACCTCCTCCTCCTTTTCCAAGGCCTCTTCCTTTGATGTCTCCACTAGAATCGAGACCGGCTTTGCCTTCTTTCCTACGGGTTTGTATTTTCGGACACTTCCTTCTGGGATCGTTCTCCTAAAAAATGGACGGTCGGGATTGGCCTTCCTAGCTCCATGATGCGGGGTTGGATGCTAACTATCTTTCCATTCAGGCAATAGCCCTTTCGGACCTCATCCTCAAACTTGGCAAGTGCTGCCAGGTCTACCCCAACTTTGTGATATCTAATAGCTTTGATAAGTTGTAGCAAGTCTAGGATTTCAAGGATTACTTCTGACATTTCCTTCTTGCCTTCCTTCGCCTTGGGCAGGCTGGCCCAAAGTTCAACTTCTGACTCTTTTTCTGCGACCATAACCCCTAGGACCTCGTCCTCTTGCCTCCTTTTCTTCAGAGGCAGGCCCATTTTGATCCACTCCTTTTTGTTGAAGGCCTCCTCAATCATGATTTCTACTCTCTCCCTCATACCTTCCATCCGTGCGAATGCCCCCTTCCGCGCACTCTCCTCAAATGCTGGCGACCAGGTTGCCAATTTGCCCTTTGGAGGGTCCCCTCCGGTCCCAAGAAGTCGGAGGAGTTCTCCGCGGCCGGTCACTGGGTCCTCTATGTCTACCATGTATGTGTCGTCATGCAGATGCATTCCTATCATTTCTACATTGGCGCACCACGGTCTCCCGAGGATTATGTCATGATCCATTTCTTCCATCACGGTCATCCGCTAAAAGGACCAGATGGATTCTCGGATTCCTGCCTTGACCGCACATTTGGTGACATACCCTGTGAAAGGAATTTCGCCACCGGCTCCCCGGATACTCCCTGCTACTTCCTTGTTTACCGTGCACCCCATGACTGTTGCGAAATCTCGTCGTATGAGGGTGATTTCTGCACCGCCGTCCACTAACGCGTAAGTGTGGTGAGTTCCGATTTGGACCTTCAGCTTTCCTACAGGCAATGCATGGAAGCTAAGCTTCGTCCCGGGTGGTGCCCTCATAACTTCACCCCCTTCTCGGTCCGGTAGGCTTAGGCGGATGTCTGCAAAGGCCTTTTCCAGGTCCTCCAAATCCCCGGGAATTCTTTGGAGATTGAAGACACCTTAGGGTGCCTTTGCCTCTTCCGTCTCCTGCTCCTGTGGTTCTGGGGCCTCCTCTACCTCTACGCGCTTACGTGTCAGCAACTGCCTGAGCCCTTTAAGCAGCCTTGGGCTGGCTTGCAGCATGGTCTGAAAGGACACTGATACCATGGTACCCAGCAGCTTACTCAGGGTGCCATCGATTTCAGGCGAAGTCAGGATTGGAATTTGATACCTGAACTTCTTTTTTGTCGCCGTAGCTTTGTCTACCGGTTCTTCCTCCCTTACTTTCCCATAGACCTTCTCTTGTTCCCCGGCTCCGGTCTCTTGCTGGTCTGCGCTAGTTCCTGCGAGTTCTTCCATTACTGTATCTTGAATAAGCTTATTTTCTGCGCCGGTCCGTCGAGTGGTGATATTTACCCTATCCTGCCCATTGCCTTCTAGGATAAAATTGGCCTTGGCCCGCGTCCCCTTGGTTGGTCCCAGACAATCTTGGCTACCGGTTCTGCTTCTACGGCAGCTATCTCTAAGTTATTCAGGAGGATGACGACTCGCCGCATTCCTCCTGGCGAGTTCCAATTTACACGCTCCCCTTGAGGTCCAAGAATCTCGCCTTTAAGGGACCTGCTGCACCTCTGCCGCTCAATATTGTGATTGAGCCTTGGGCAAGCCCTCACGAAGTGTCCAATCATTGTGCAGTACCTGCATCGTTCGTTGGCCGGATCCCTCCTGCCAAATCCCCGATTAGCTACGGCTGCCGGAACTACGGCCTCTTGGGGCGGGAGGGCGGGTCGAGACACCTGTGCCTGCATTACTAATAATGCATTTTCCATTTTGTCCATCTTGCTCTCGACCCCGTGCACCCTTTCATGTAGGCTCTCTATTCCCTTCTTGACCTTATCCCCTGTCTTCCCAGTCAAGTCTATAACCTCCCCTTCCTTAAGCAGGGCTAGCGTGTCGGTCACCACTGTCTTGTCTGCGAGGTCTGTTACCATGCTGAAGTCCACATCCCTAGTGTACTCGAACTTGCTAGTCTGCTGGTAGGTTGACAGAATCTTATCTTTGTCGAACTCGGAGAACTGCCTAAGGAAGTACTTGCTCATTATTCGGTCCGTTACCCTAGGGATTCGCAATGCCACTAGAGTGAACGCCTTGAGAAAGTCATTGTAAGTGGCATAGTTTTTCCTTTGGACGGCCGCCAATTCAGCCTCTGTCGCCATTTTCTCCGCCTTCAGGTACTTTCTCATCATCTCATTCCGGGTTTCCTTCCAGGATCCACTAGAGGAGACGATAGCCATAATGTCCCTTCCTAAGCTCAACGACACGTGCTGCCCTAGGTGGTCCATCTTCTCTTCCTCAGTCCATTTTCGTAAGGCTGCCAGGTTCTCGTAATCTATCAGAAATTCCATGATGTTTGCCTCATCGAAAGTGAGTTTCTTCTTTGCATTTGCGAGATACCCCTGGTTCTTATTCAGCGCCCGGATGAGGGTGGCTACTATCCTTTAAAGTCCCCCTTCAGAGCTACCCGCCTCACCGACCGCAATATTCCCCTCTCCTTCCCTGCCTTCCTTGTGCTTTTCCCCGGTTTTCGGTGTTCCCCTCGGATCAAACCAGCCTAACACCCTCTCTCTAAGACTCCAGAGTCCATCGCATCCCTTTGTTGCTTTGGACGTGGCGGGCAGACGACTAGCGCCGCTATCGATAGCCGGCGGGGTCGTGGCCTTTTCTGCCTCTATAGTCGAGGACTCCCCCTTTTCCTTCCTCTTCTTGCTGGGCGTTCCCTTATGGTTGTTATCTTTTGCTCCGTACCTGGCTTCGCCCTGACTGGTCCTGCGTCCCTCTCGTGACCCTTCCCCCTGGGGATCCTCTTCATTCCCGACCATCATTTGTTCAATAAGTCTTGCCTTGTACTCTGCGGTCCGCCTTTCTATTTCTGCCAATTTGCGACGTGCATCCGAGATTTTCGTTTTCTTGGGCGTGGTTCCTCCGGAGTTCTGAGGACTCCCCTTTTCGTCGTCCCTCCCTTCCCTATTCTCCTGCGGTCCCCTTTTGCTACCCCCCAACTTTTCCTGAACTTTCCCCTGTGGAGAGGCCCTTCCCTTCTTCTCTGGCCTCTTCTGGCTTTGCTGATTCCTGATCCGACCCCTCGTTCTGTTCCTCGTCCCTATTCGTACCAAGACTCCCTCTGTTCTGCTGGTTGTCGTCCTGTTCTTGTGACGCCATTTCTTTACCTAGCTTGCACATGGGGAATTTTTTTTTTTGCGAAAAATGGCCGGTTGTTCATGGCTCCCCTAGTTCCAGCCCTAAAACCCGGTTGTTTTCATGCCCTTTTTCGGTTTTCATAAGTCGGGACGATATTCCTGACTTTTCTTCCACAGGACACCATTTAGATCTCCTTCCGCCGGGGGACTTGCTGCCGAGGTCTAGATTTTTGTCGTTGCCCTGCCTCGACTCTGAGGGCGGTGTCTGAGCCTAGTGGCTTTCCCCTTGAGGATAGCCCTTTCGGCTTTCAGACACCCAGATGCCCCGACATTCCTGGTGCGGGTGGTCTTCCTAGTTCCTTCCTGCCGCATCATCAGGTAGGGCGGAACTCCAACCAGTGCCTCCCCCCTCTTCCTGATGGCTACCTTCTCATCTTAATACCCATCCCTTAATTTTTCCGTGTTCCCCCCCGGCGCCTCTTCTCACGCTAGTCCCTCAGGCATGCCCTGTTCGTCCGGTTCCTCGAACAGGTCAGCCACCCCGGCAAGGTAGTTTTCTCCCATCGCTATTTCCCTAATGATTATTGGTTCGTATTCCTCAAACGCCAAGCGAGGTAACCCGAATATCAAAATTTCAATGAGGTCAAGTAATTCCCAGGCCTGATTTTCCCAGAACGGCCCATGCCTGACCGACACATCGTAAAACATCCCTATTGTTTGTGGCCGGAAGTGGTGGACCCAGACCAGGGTCGAATCCACCAGGTCCCTGGCCCTCTTGAGGTTGCCAAATATCAGGTCCACCATGAAGCGGGGGACTCGGCACCTCAGCCTTGTCATTGGGGTTTTAAATTCTCGCCAACCTCCTACCTCCACCCGGGTTCTCAGTCCCACATTCCTTCTCCCTCGCACTTCCTGGCCTACTCGGTTCAGTACCCTAGTAGCCCTTTGGAAGATTGGTAACAACCCATGCCCTAGCGCCAGTTCCGTTCCTAACATGTGCCATCCAAGTTCTGGTAGGTATACGGTCCCAGTCACCCTGAGGTCAGTATACAGATCGTCCCCTGGTCCCCTGTTAATTCTCATACCATCCCACAAACATTCCACCATCATGAACGCCTGGTCCCTTCCCAAGGTTACGGCTCTCCATTCGGTATCGATCCCTCGGACCCTGTTAGCTTGCTGGGAGCGATACCTCCCATCCGTCTCCGCTTTCCGTGGGGGGTCGGGGGTGCGTGGGCCGTCGTGACCTCCGGGCGCGTCTCATCGCCATTTCGATTTAGCAGTCCCCTGCACAGTTTAAAACGCAAGCGAGTTTGCTTATTTCATTTATCCTTCGGCCCTTACCTGAGCGACTCCCTGGTCCTTAGCTTGACGCTTCCTTCGCTCTCTATCCCCTTCCCCTTCCTCGGCTCTTCTATCGGCCTGTTCCTACCTCCATCGGCCCATACAATCGATGTAGATCGTCTATGTACGTCCTCCCCCGACTTATTTCCCGTTGGATGACGCCCCACAGAACCTCACTACCTACAACCGGAGCCCTTGGTCTAGTGGTAAACACGGCGTGCAAGATTGGCAGCACCTCATACTTTTGTTCTCCGCTAAACGGCCCCATTTCTAGGAAGGCCCGATAGTATTCTCGGTGTACCATCGTGTCTTCGTATGTCAAACTAGCGAGGTTGGCAACCGCCCGTCTGACAAGCTCCAGCCCGCCCAGCGTTTCCAGCAAAAAGGGCGGCAGCCTCATCCGAATGTTTCCGCTAGGCAATTCAAAACTTTCGGCCCTAGCTACCCTGAGGTCTGCCGTTACATCATCAAATCCCGGATCTGTGAACTCAAATCCCGCCTCCCATACTAACTGCCATGCCCCTTCGAACATACTCAATGGATCTTCCCCTGATGCCAACAGAACCCCGAACTCGCACCACCCATCCTCGGACACATACAATCGTCCGTCTGCACGCACATGCCCCCGCGGGTCCGGGTTCCACTCCCCATGCTCATCCACTCGACCCTTGTTACCAGGTAAACCATATTTTCCATAAGATCAACCTCGACCCAATCCGCCACCGGGTGCCATCCTCCGCTCACGGCCGACAGACTAACTTATATCCCACCCTCTACTTCCCCAAGTGGCTCAATGCCTAGGGGGCGATCTTCAAGAAACGTCCTCCTTCGTGCCATAGCGTGCCCGTCCTTGGTCTCCTAGCCCACAATTCGCACCGAACCCTACAATGGCCAGACATTCCATTCCCTCGTCTTAGCAATTCTCCCATACTTGCCTGGCCTCACAACCCTTTCTGCTCTTAGTCAAACCACAGTACCTCGAGCTTAAACACATCATCTACATAGCAGGGTGTGGCGGCTACCTCGCGGCGGATTATAGCCTCCCTGGTTTCCGGGGCCACTTCCATCCGGTCATTCCTTTCAATATCCAAAATGATGAGGACCGCCCAGACTCTATCGGCATGGAATGGCTCGTATTTCATAAATGTTTTATAGAACTCTTCCGTTAGCCAAGCACAATTCACGTGCACCCGCCCCATAGCGCTGGCTACTTCCTTGACATGGTCAAAACCCCCAAACCAATCTGCTACGAACTCGGGTACCCAAGTCTTAACTCGTTGGCAGGGGGGCCTAAATTCCTTCCATCCTCTCATCACGACTCTGCTACTGACCACATCCCAACCTTTGTTTGCAAACCTCTCGCCCCCCCGTCGAGCCCTTGCCTCAGCATCCCCTAGAAGCCACATCGGGTTCTGCCTTGCTGCGAGCGTTGTGCAAAACAGGTGCCAGCCTTGTTCAGACAAGACGACCGTCCCAACCGATTCCACCCTTCCTTCCGCAATCTCCTCCCATCCGTCCTCTTCCCTTAGCGGGTTCCAAACACGCTCTATCCATAGGTACGATAGGTCGGGCACAAGTTCAGATCCTACCCAGTCACACGTGGTTCCTCTCCACTCATGATCCGCTGGTATGGACATTTCTACTCCCCTTCCAGCCCGTCCTGGTTCCCATCCCTTGGGTGTGCAGTTCCACAGCTCGCGCTCCCGAGCCATTGCTTCCTACCTGCACATAGTTGACAGCCCATTCCCGGGTAAGCCCCTTCCCCCTTTCAGAAGTCTCAGTCCTCTATCTCATCTCCTTCCTCATCATCACTGAAATCCCCTTCTTCAACTGAGAACAGGTCCTTCACTCCCTCCAAGAAGGTTTCCCCTGCCGCCACATTCCGGTACACTATCTGCCAATGCACCGGACTGGGAACAAAGATTTCGTCCGCGCTGAGGAGGTTTAATACCTCAGCTAATTCTTTCGCCCAGTTTCCTTCAAACGGCCCCGCTTCCACCGACAGTCTAAAGAAGTGTTGTCTAGCACATTGGTACAGCCTCAGGCGCGTCATCGACCGGCATATCCGTTCCAATCTATCCCTGGTCCCAAAGACTGCATCCACCAGAAACGGGGGTAGCACGCATCTCATCGTCCTAAGGGGGCGTTTCATATTTTTCCGGTCTCCGAGTTCCACTCGCACCTCCATCTTTTCCATCTCCATTTCCGCCCGCTGACATACCCCCCATACCACTTCCCGTTCCGCTTGCTTAAACAACTGATCTGGTGTCGTGCCCAATACTAGTCCCACTACCATTGCATTTTCCATTTCCTGAGATACGTAGACCCATCCTCGAGCTTCCACCGTTCCCCGGAATTCTAGGTCCATCAGGCTGGGTGAAAGTTTTTTCAGGCTGACCTTAGTCCAGATTGTCTCTATCCAGAGGAACGCGTCCTTCTCGTCCAGCATCACGGTTTCATAAGCTGGCTCTAGGTCCGTTCACGTTCCTTCCTCCGGGAGGACGACAGATACCCCTTCCCTTACATCTATGGGCATTTCTGGACTGCTAGAGTAGACAGGGGGTGACAACCATCACGCCATCTTGTTTTTCCGGCGCCTATCCTGTTTCCACATGAGAGCACCACACGACCCCTCATGGTCAGATTGCCTCCCGCCTAGATGAGAATTATTTTCAGACCCCTCCCCTGGGTCTCCTCAACATTTCCTACCTATGTCGCAGATGTTGTTACCCCATCATACCCTCGATCGGTCACCCTCAGCCGGCATTCCTTTTTCTTGGTTTCATTTCCTTCTGACTCCTATCCAGCCTTTATCATCATGTTCTCTCAC